CAGGCCTGGCAACCAGGGTGAGGTAAGTGTGCCTTCCCTGTTTTGGCACCGCAAGGGACTGGGAAGCAGGGAGGCCAGGAGGGAGGCCTGTCACCGTCTTCCCTCTCTGGCCTTCCTCGTGGGCCTCACTGCCACCCCGTTGTTGTCATTGCTGTTTTTGTGTGGCTCCAAGACTCTTTCGACCTGAGGCTCCAGAAAAGCCAGGCAGCCATTTTGGGGAAGGGGCAGGACTAAAGGAGGCTGCGACCCCTCAGAAACAGTCCCCAGGTTGAGAACAGCCGTGATAGAGTGATGGACCTAAGAAAGGCCTACCTTCAGATCCTGAAAGATACATAGACAGACAGATGATAGACAAACAGGTAGAAAGATATAGAGCTAGACAGATACAAAGACAGAGAGATAGATAGATGATAGAAGGATCTAAGAGAGGCCTACCTTCAGGTCCCGATAGTGACATAGATAGAAAGATAGATGATAAAGTGACCTTATTGGTGCGGTACTTACCCATGCCAAGCCAGTCAGGACAGAAAGCTTCCACTGGAACTTGCCAAAGCCGATGGCTTCCACTGCATCTTCCACCATAAACGTGTCTGGAATAGGAAGAGAGAGAAAGCAATGGATTAGAAGGCACGGCTTGGAAATCACTGACGCCAGCGATGTGGCTCTCACAATGGGATATTGTGAGGCCTGCTAAATCAACCAGCCCTTATCAGCAAGCTCCTGGAATAATAATGTAAAAATACAATCTATACACACAGTGTGTGTGTGTGTGTGTGTGTGTGTGTGTGTGTGTGTGTGTGTGTGTGGGGCGGAGGTATCCACTTAAAGACAGCCTTCCAAGGCACTCCCTCAACTGACATTGTAGGTTATAGCGAGCACCATGAACATTTAGCCCAAACCTTACCAATGTCCTTCCCAAACACTACTGCCCACCACCCAAAGAATACTTTCATTTGGGGAGAATTTCATCCTAGATTTGACCTGTTTCTTCCACCATAGGCTGGCACTCCAGGGTTCTTTGTGTGGAATTTGCATGACCCCACCTACTTGTTCTCCCTTAACCCTCTCCTACCCTTTCTGATGGCACACAGCAAACACAGAGGAATTGATCAGCAACTGAACAGACTGGAGGGGTTTGGGGAAGCTGTAGTTTACCTTGTATCAACGCAGGATGGAAGTTGTAGTTCATCCTGCATCAATGCAGAGCACTGTGACCCCCTTCGATAATGGACCTGGACCACATTTGGCATGCAGAACCCCCATTACCAGATTTGGGGGAATTGACATTGATTTATAGGAGTTGCAGTTCACCTACATCCAGAGACCACTGTGAACCCAACCAATGATGGATCTTGACCAAACTTGCCACAGATGATGGGACTTGCAGTACCTTCCCTCACTTCCAGAGACCACTGCAACCACCACAAATGACTGATCAGGACCACCCTTGACATGCAGACCTCCCATGAACCATTATTTATTTATTTATTTATCTAAAACTTTTATATCCCTATATATCACTATACATCCTGCTGGAGGAGGACGGACCACAGATGATGGTATTTGTAGTACCTTCACTCAATTTGTCTCCCAGAGACTTCTGTGATCCCATGTGTGGCAGACCTGGACTAAACTTGCCACACAGACTCTCCATGACAGACTTTTTGTTCTGGTGAGGGTTGGGAGAGGATGGACCGAGGACAATGGGATTTACAGTATCTTTACTCACTTTCAGAAACCACTGTGACCCCCACAAATGATGCACCTGGATCAAATTTGGCATGCAGACTCCCTATGGCGCACTTTATGTCCTGGTGAGGGTTAGGGGAGGATGAACCACAGACTATGGGATTTGCAGTACCTTCACCCACTTCCACAGACCCGTGACCCGCACAAATGACGAGCCTGGACCAAACTTGGCACACAGACCCATCATGGGCAACTGTGCATTCTGACTGGGTTTTGGGGTGACTGCCCTGGGAATCTGGGAGTTGTAGTTCACCCTTATCCAGAAAGCACTGAACCCAACCGACTACAGATCTGGACCACACTTGGCACACAGACCCAACATGGCTAGCAGTGCCTGGTTTGGAGAGGACTGACCCATGACTCTGGGAATTGTAGTCCACCCACATAGTTATGCATTTTCTAATGGGATAATTCATTTTAAAAAATCAAAAACTTTTTCCTAATAAATAGTATTACTAATTAACTAAATGATGTTACCTAACACCTCAAAACAAACAATGCCATTTTGAAATCAACTTGGCACCGCCGGGTGCCCAAGTTAGTATAATTATAATTATATATATATATAATTATATGTTACAGTTATTATATTTATTGTTATACCATCAGTGGGGTTAGCAAACTCTCTGGGCACAATGCTGCCGTCTTCCAGTTCCACGGCCTCCATCGCTGGGACCCCTTCGATGTGGACCTCGTGCTCTCCGTAAACAGTGGAATCGACATCTTCATCAGAGCGAGCGCTCTCCCCTGTGCGGCGGAACTTGACCACCCTGCAAAGCCAGAAAGAAAGAAGTACAGGGTATGCAGAACGAATCTGTCCCGTTGTCGATCCAAATGCCCGTCACATCCGTCAAGGCTATATATAAAAAATTTGGTGTGATGGAATAAATTCGTAACATTGTCACAACTTCATATACGCAACTATATATATATATATATATGTGTGTGTATAATATATATAATTACACACACACACATATATATATCTATATATAAATTACTTACATGTATTATATGTGATATAAAATTTGTAATTACTTATATATTATATTATATGTAACATATAAAATAACTGCAGATATAATATTATAAATACTTATATTATCATAATATATATAATATATATAACCACTATATATTTTAATATATAACATACATAACATACAACTACTTATATACTGTAATGTATATATTATAATATATATGTACTTATACATATATTATATATATGAACATATACATATATTATATATAAAATATATATAATAACTACTTATATATAATACATTATAGGTATGTGTATATATATATATATGTATATTATATAACTACTTAAATGTATTACTATATATATATAACTACTTATATATAATATAACTACTGTATTATAATATTATATATAACTACTGTATTATAATATTATATATAGCTACTTATACATATATATTACATTATAAGTATGTATGTATATATATATTATAATATATAATATAGAATAACTACTTACATGTATTACAATATATAAATACTTTAAAATACTTATATGTATATATGGAATTATATAGCACAGCAGCCACTCCATTTGAACAGACCTACCTCCAAGTTGTACTTCTTGGGGAGACACTATGTCTACCCCAACTTATATAGGATCCAAATCAGACTGTATCAGAAACAACACTCAAGGATATTCATACCAGAACTAAACACCAAATGCATATGTATGTAACACATATATATGCAATACATATATATAAGAGAAAGGCATTGCATAACCTAGGAGAAGGAGGCTCCAGCATCATCAGCATCATCAATTATTATTATTATGACTGAATCCAGTCTGGATCTGCCATAAGGGAAGGCACCATTCGATCCCTCCTGACAGAGGGCCCTTCAGCCATAGATATTAAAACTATGATATATTATCTAATTATCTAATATTATCTAATCTATTATTATTTAAGACACTATATTATCCAGTATCTCTCATAGTAGCAAAAACCATACTAAGGATTGATTTATTATTTCCAGTTCATTGCATGATGATGATGATGATGATGATAATGATGATGATGATGATGATCCAGCCCTCCTGTCAATCATCCCATGAAGAGGAGGGCCCCTTTTTCCCGGGAAAATATACATATATATATTTTTCCCCGGGAAAAAATAATAATAAAAGGGAGGGACCCATTTTTCCCGGGAATATATATATATGTATCCCCCCTTACGGCAGCTGCCGGAGCTGGACACGGTCCTCCTCCATGTTGGCTCACATGCCGGCCTGCAGGCGTTTCCCGGGAAAAGTGGAGGCCGGAAGGGGCGGAGAAAATACAAGACCACGCCCCCTCTGCTGGCTGGGGAATGAGAGGGCGGGGAAAGCGGAAAGCCACGCCCCTTCACTGGCTAGAGAAGGAAAGGGAGAGAAAAGAGCAAGCCACGCCCCCGCTGAATAAGGAAGGAAAAGGGCGAGAAGAGCAAGCCACGCCCCCTGGACTGAATAGAGAAGGGAGAGGTGAAGCCACTGTCGAGTAAGGCAGGAAAGAGGCGGGGAAAAGGACAGGCCACGCCCTCTGCACGGAATTGAGGCGAGCGACGCCCCATCCACGGACTACGAAAAGAAAGAGGCGGGGAAAGGACAAGTCACGCCCACTGTGCCGACGAGAGAGCAGGGGGACAAGCCACGCCCATTCCGCTGACTAAGGAACGAAAGGGGCGGGGAAAAGGGCTGACTAAAGAAGGGAAAAGGAGAAGCCATGCCCCCTCCACTGACTAGAGCAGGGAAAGAGCAAGACACGCCCCTCCGCTGACTAAAAAAGGCGGGAAAAGGACAAGCCTGTACAATTATTCATCTTTAGTATTTATTATTGACTTACTACATTTGTATAGACCGCCTTTTTCAGCCCGGAGGCGACTCACGGCGGTTCACAGTCGGCAACAATTCGATGCCTCAACAATTATAAAATACAGTTAAAACGTTTAGCATCTTCTATCTATCTTTCTTTGTTGTTGTTCATTCGTTCAGTCGTCTCCGACTCTTCGTGACCTCTTCGTGACCAGCCCACGCCAGAGCTCCCTGTCGGCCGTCACCACCCCCAGCTCCTTCAGGGTCAGTCCAGTCACTTCAAGGATGTCATCCATCCATCTTGCCCTCTATCTATCTATCTATCTATAAATGCTCTGTGCATAATGAGTACCTTAAAAACAAAAGAACCAATGAACGAAATCACACCAAATTTGGCAACAAAACGTCTCACAACACAAGGAGTGACCATCACTCAACAAATTAGGATTTTGTCATTCGGGAGATGCAGTTGCTGGGATTTATAGTTCACCTACAATCAAAGAGCACTCTGAACTCCATCAACGATGGAATTGAACCAAACTTGGCACACAGAACTCCCATGACCAACAGAAAATACTGGAAGCGTTTGGTGGGCATTGACCTTGAGTTTGGGAGTTGTAGTTCACCTACATCCAGAAAGCACTGTGGACTCAAACAATGATGGATCTGGACCAAACTTGGCACGAATACTCCATATGCCCAAATATAAACACAGATGGAGTTTGGGGAAACTATACCTTGACATTTGGGAGTTGTAGTTACAATCAAAGAGTATTCTGAACCCCACCAATGATGGAATTGGGGCCAAAAATCCCACGCAGAACCCCCATGACCAACATAAAACTCTGTGTTTTCTGGTGGTCTTTGGTAACCATTCTGACACCCCCCTGGTGACCCCCAACTCCCTTCATTAGGGCAAGAAAACGTAATCAAAACCCTCTTGACAAAGGGCCATCCAGCCATTCACACACACACACATATGTATATGACAATCAAAGATTTGAAAGGGACCCCTAAAGAAGGATGATGATATGTTGCATGTTCCAGAGTAGGCAAACCAGACAATCTTCACATCAACACTGACAAAGAAAGAACAAGAAATACTGTTTACCCACAAGCAGAAAGACATTACATATATTAGAAACCAACACTTTCTCATTATTTTATTTTCCAGATCTCCAGACTGGGCCACAGCAACGCATGGCAGGGGACGGCTAGTATAATATAAAAACCGTACAAAGCCATAAAAACATTATTGAGAGTGTCTCCTTACTAAAGTCATTATCCAATGGCATCGTCAAGTCGTTCAGTGATTTCATCTTTACCTGATTGTGCTGCATTAGCGAAAGCTTGCTCAAAGAACCAGGTTTTAACCTTTTCTCTATTTTTGTTGTTCATTCGTTCAGTCGTTTCCGACTCTTCGTGACCTTATGGACCAGCCCACGCCAGAGCTCCCTGTATGCCATCACCACCCCCAGCTCCTTCAAGGTCAATCCAGTCACTTCAAGGATGCCATCCATCCATCTTGCCCTTGGTCGGCCCCTCTTCCTTTTTCCTTCCATTTTCCCCAGCATCACTGCCTTCTCCTAGCTTTCCTGTCTCCTCATGATGTGGCCATCTTTGCCTCTACTATCCTTCCCTCCAATGAGCAGTCGGGCTTTATTTCCTGGGGGATGGACTGGTTGGATCTTCTCGCAGTCCAAGGCACTCTCAGAACTTTCCTCCAACACCATAGCTCAAAAGCATCTCTCTTCCTTCGCTCAGCCCTCTATTAGTATATTATATAATTATTATTGGACATTATCTTAACATTATATTATTTCCATTATCACATTATATAATTATTATTGTTTCCATGATGATGATGATGATGATGATGATGATTCGTGGGTTGCTGTGAGTTTTCCAGGCTGTCTGGCCATGTTTCAGAAGCCTTCTCTCATCTATGGCGGGCATCCTCAGAGGTTATGAGGGAAACATTACCCTTTGTCATCTGGTGTTCATAAGGGAAGGCATGGTTATAAAACATGATTTACTTGGCGTTCCCTTTGTTTGTAGGAGAGCTTAGACTACCCAAGGCTTTCTAATGGGGGAACCAGCTATCCATGATATCGAGCTGGAATTTAGAGACTCCCACCCAGGAGAGAGGAGCCCTTAGACCCACCAAAGAGGATCTGGAACTCTGGCGAGCAAAGGAAAGAGCCAATGGAATTTTTCCCAGATTTTTCCCAATAAAATCTCACCAAAGTTGAAGAAAAGCCACCGAGTTGTATTTATTTTGTCCAGCTGGTACGGATGTCAAACCGCGATAGTTTGTCAGGAGAGACATACATTCAATACATTGTAGTACATTTTTATAGAAAAACAGAGCTGTCAATGTTCAAATTTCCCGCCCCCCCCCCCCCCTCAACCGGCATTCTCCTGATTGGCTGTTGTCATCAGCTGAAGGGGAGGCGCGGTCAGCTTAGCCGCGCCTCAGCCAATCAGAAAACCAGCGCCACTTCGGGCTCTCGGCCAATAGGAGTGGAAGAGGCAGTCCTTGGAATGAACAATTAAGTGAATGTCCAGATTAGAGAATTAAAAATGACTTAATGTGTCCTGATGGCCGGCGATCAATCAAAGAATAGATTCCTCAAGCCGGTCGGGTCTCTTGAAAGGTTGAGATATGCAGATATGGCTGGCACGATTGCCAAGCCCTGGTATTTCCTTGTCTCAGATACTGGATCATCTTGTTGTCGTATGGATTTTCTCGGTCCATGGGGAAATGACAAAAGGGAGAAAAGCTGGGACATCCTGGCCTCCCTTGAAAGCAGGATGCCCTTTGTTGGTATATGACTAGTTCACCAGGGGGCTCCCCTCAAGCGGTCCTGCTCCGATATTCGAGGAGAGCCGGGTTATTATCATGCAAACAGTCTTTGTTTAAAACCTTAAATCAATAGGAATTTGCCTTGGGAAATGGACTACCCAAGGCTGATGTCATGCTGGAGGTCAAGAAAAGGTGACTTTCCATATTTCATATACAGACACATACACAGGGGTGAGGGGAGATACATAAGGGATAATGAAGCATAAAGGAATTTCATATACACCCATCCCACCCACCAGAGTCCAAAAGAATAAGTTCATAAGCACAAAATCATATCAACCCTTAATAACGAAAAGGGAGTCCATAGGGCTTGGGGAAGAAGTTCCATAAAGTTTTCAAAAGTCCTTAAAAGTTTGGGAAAGTTTATCAAGTTGTAAAATCCAGAAAAGGCAAATGGGAAAAGATGTTCCAATGTCCACAGAGTCCTTATGGCTGTTCACCAACGCTGAAGGTCGAGATCCATGGAGAGAACTACAGATCCCTCCACGCCAAGGATCAAGGTGGCCCGCCGACATCTTAGGGATCCCATGGGTTGACCGCAACAGTTTCCCAGGGTCAGCAGGCTCCTTGGACATCCAAAAAATGGTGGCTGCTGGACTCCAGGTTGGGGTTTCAGAGGCAAAGAAGGTTATTCCCGGGGTGGGAGGGGCGGCGGAGCGAAACCGAGATAGCCATTAGTCTTAAAATTCTCCCAGGAGAATGACACCATTTTTGAAGCGATCCGTTGACTCGCAGATACGGGGGCCTGAGGGGTTTTCGTACCCATGGTTTAAGGGAGCGCAGTTTCGGCCTCCCCGGAACACAAAAGTCGCATCCCAGGAAGGGCCGGCAGTCATCTGCAGCCCGGGAGAAGAAAGGTTTATTGAAAGAGAAGTTTGAGGAAGTAAAGAGACACAAAGTCACACTATGGAGAGGAGATAAGTTACAACTAATTTATACTTTTAATTGGGGGGGGGGGGTAGTGACAATGTTAGGAAGGGGGAAAGGCAAAGAAATGAGAAGGCTCCTGAGTTGCAGCTGCTGCGTGCGGTTGGCCCAAGCGGGGCAATGGAGAACTGAGGAACTCCCTGTTGCAGGTCAGATCAGCTTGAAGGCAGGGAGTTCTGTGTTCGGCCTTATCCATAAAGGGAAGAAAAGAGGAAAGATACACGATGGCTGGGAAAGGTACATTACAGCAAGGAAAGGGCAAGAGAAGCACAGAGTTCAGGGTAACCAATTTATTAAGGGACTAGCTGTCCCCTGCCACGCATTGCTGTGGCCCAGTCTGTTGATCTGGAAAATAAAGTGATGAAAAAGTGTTGGTTTCTAATATATGTAATTTATTTATGCTTGTAGGTAAACAGTATTTCTTGCTGTTTCTTTGTCAGTGTTGATGTGGAGAGTGTCTGATTTGCCTACTCTGGAATATGCAACATATAATTGTTCTTCTTCAGGGGTCCCTTTAAAATCTATGATACTATATCTATCTATCTATCTATCTATCTATCTATCTCTATCTATCTATCTATCTATCTATCTATGACTGGATGGCTCTTTGTCAGGAGGACTTTGATTAAATTTTCTTGCCCCAATGAAGGGAGTTGGGTTGGATGGCCTTAAGTATTTTCTGTTCGTCATGGGGGTTCTGTGTGGAAAGTTTGCCCCGATTTTGGCGTTTGTGGGATTCAGAATGCTCTTTGATTGTAGGTGAACTATAAATCCCAGTGACTACAACTCCCAAATGTCAACGCCTATTTTCCCCAAACTTCATCTGTGTTCATATTTGGGTGTATAGAGTGCTTGTGCCAAGTTGGGTCCAGATCCATACATTGTTTGAGTCCATAGTGCTCTCTGGATGTAGGTGAACTACAACTTCCAAACTCAAGGTCAATGCCCACCAAACCCTGCCAGTATTTTCTGTTGGTCATGGGAGTTCTGTGTGCCAAGTTTGGTTCAATTCTTTCGTTGATGGAGTTCAGAATGCTCTTTGAGTGTAGGTGAACTATAAATCCCAGCAACTACAACTCCCAAATGACAAAATCATAAATTTTTGAGTGATGGTCACTCCTTGTGTTGTGAGACGTTTTGTTGCCAAATTTGGTGTGATTTCGTTCATTGGTTCTTTTGTTTTTAAGGTACTCATTATGCAAAGAGCATTTAGATAGATAGATAGATAGATAGATCATAGATCATAAGCAGTCTGTAGCTAGTTTCCTGGTTGTCTGAACATGTGCAAAGTCAAACAAGTACACTTGAAGTGTCTGCAGCCTTTGGAACTCTCTGCTGCAGGCACGAAGGGAACAAATAATAATTTTGCTCAGGGGGGTTTCATGCAACAAGAAGACCACAGCTGCCCAGCTCACCGAGCCCTGGAGCTGAGGGCTGAACTTTCCCTGCCGTGAGCAGCATGAGTTCGGTGCTTCCTCTGTTTCTCTTTCCAAGAGAGCCGGCCTCTCTCTCTCTCTCTGTATCGCCCCCTAGTGGCGTTGCGAAGAAGAAGCTGTGCAAGAGCGGACAAAGGCCGTGGGGAGAGGAGACGGGCGTGCGCGGCGAGGCCGGGGCGGAGGCGGGGCGGAGGCGGGGAAGGCGAGGGCGCAGGCGGGAGGCGGCCCCGGACAGGAGGGAGCCCTTCCGCCGGAGGAGGCGCCAGCTCCGGAGCCATGGCGCTGGTCACCCTCCAGCGCTCGCCCACCCCCAGCGCCGCCTCCTCCTCCGCCAGCACCAGCGAGGTGAGCCGCGCACCTTGATCACATCCTCATATATCACCACCACCACAAATAAGAATAAGAACAACAACAACAGATAACAGGAGCAGCAACCCCAGAGGCCATCCAGTCCAACCCCCTTTATTCTGCCTTCATGCAGGGAAAGCCCCATCAAAGCAGCCCCAACAGAGGGCCATCCGGTTTTTGTAATCGTAACAATAATAATAACAACACTAATGATACTATTTCATAATAATATACCATTTAAAATTATAATATAATTGAATATATAATACAATAATATATAATATTTAATAACAATATATAATAATGTATTGTCGAAGGCTTTCATGGCCGGACTCACTGGGTTGTTGTAGGTTTTTCGGGCTATATGGCCATGTTCTAGAAGCATTCTCTCCTGACGTTTCACCTGCATCTATGGAAAGCATCCTCTGAGGACGCTTGCCATAGTTGCAGGCGAAATGTCAGGAGAGAATGCTTTTAGAACATGGCCATATAGCTCGAAAAACCTACAACAACCCAATATACAATAATGTATAATATAGAATAATAAAAATATATAATAATATAATATTAATATATAAAGGCAGGTTAAAGGGGTTTAGACTAGATGGCCTCTGGGGTTGCCCCTATTATTATATATTATATTCTTATTAGTTATATATTATTCTATATTATATTATTTTAATATTTAATAATTAATATAGAATAAATATATATAATTAATAATAATATAATATATAATAATATAATAGGGGCCCAGAGGCCATCTAGTCCAACCCCCTTTAATCTGTTTTCATGCAGGGAAAGCACCATCAAAGCACCCCTGATAGAGGGCCTTCATGTCTTTGTAAGTCATAACATATAATAATATTTAATATTTAATAATACATAATAATATATAATAACTAGTAGGAATAATGAATAATATATATAATATCTAATAGTAATAATATTAATAATATAAGATATATACTAATTCATAATAAATAATATTTAGTAATAATAATAACAGAAGTCCCAGGAACCACCCAGCCTTAATAATACTAATAATAATACTAATAATATTAATACTAATAATATAATTAATAATAATATATGTAATAATATAAAATGATATAATATTAATAATATAGTAATATATAATATTTAATATTAATATAATATATTTAATAATAATAATAATAATAATAATAATAATAATAATAGCAGGAACTGCATAGAACATCCAGTTTTCTTTATTCTGCCTTGCAGGAAAAATACAATCAAATCACCCCCAACAGATGGCCATCCAGTTTTTGTAATAATAATATACAATATGTAATAATAATAATAATTCTATAATATGATAATATAACAGTAATACGTAATATAATAATAATAATAATATATTCCTTACAGCCAGGAAGTTCTGCCTCATGTTCAGGCGGAATCTCTTTGGAAATGCATTGTGATCTTTTCTTTCTTTCTTTCAGTTGGATGCCGGCAGCGATGAAGAGCGCAAACTGAACCTGAGGTGAGCTGTGGGAAGCTTTGATCTTCATGCAGTGAGCAGCCATGAAGCTGCCCAGTCAACCAGGGAGGGCGCCTGCATGGTAGTGGGGGTGGTAGACTGGCTGTTGTTGCCTGGAGGCACCCTCTGTGATGGAGGTGTTCACTAGCAATTTGATTGTTTGCTATGTAATGTAATATAATAAATTAATGTAAGATAAAATAATGATAATAATATTATAAAAATAGAAATAATTATTTAAGCCACTTTGGGTCCTGTGCAGGGGAAAGGGAGGGTATGTGTGTGTATGTTTATGTGTGTATATATGTGCGTGTGTGTGTGTATATATGTGTGTGTGTTTATGTATGTGTATATATATATATGTGTGTGTGTGTTTATGTATATATATATGCGTGTTTATATGTATATATGTATGTGTGTATATATGCATATGGGTGTATATACGTATGTGTATGTATATGTGTGTATGTACATAAATATGGATGGATGTGTGTGTGTGTGTGTATATATATATGTGTGTGTATATATGTTTATGTTTATTGTTATTGTTCATTCATGCAATTGTTTCTAACTAAATGGACCAGTGTATGTTTATATGTATATATATTTGTGTGTATGTATATGTGTGTATATGTGTATGTATATATATGGATGTATGTGTACATATGTGTGTGTAAATATATATGTGTATTTATATGTATATATATGAATGTGCGTATGTGTGTATATATGTATGTCTGTATATGTATGTGTATCTCTGTGTGTTATTTTGTGTGTGTATGTATATGTATGTATGTGTGTATATTTGTGTGTGTATGTATACAGCCTTGGGTACCCATCGATTCCCGGGTGATTTGGTTCAGATCCATCATTGACTGGGTCCAGTGTTCGCTGAATACGGGTGAAGTACAACTGCTGGATTCCAAGGTGTATATATATAGATTCCTAGATATATATATACCTTACCTCTTGTGTGATTGCCTTTCTTTTCCAGCCTCAGCGAGAGCTTTTTTATGGTGAAAGGGGCTGCCTTGTTCCTCCAACAAGGCAACAGCCCGCAAGGCCCACGCACCTCGCCTCACCTTCACAAGCATGCAGGTGAGAATCACAATCGGGAAACTTTAGAGGCCTGTTTCTCAGTTGATTCTAAGCTGATTGGCATGAAACTCATCTCACTTGTAGGCCACATCTTCTACTCCAAGCCTGTCAAGTTTTGGAACAGTTCACCAGTCCACTGATTTATGGGAAATTTTCAAAGTTTTGCTTGCATTTGTCACTGGCATCCTCAGAAGTTCTGTTGGCAGTGAGGCAAGTGGAATGTGTATATATAATTATGGAATACTGTCCAGAGTGGGAGAAAGAACCCTTGTCTGTTAAAGCAAGTATGAATATTGCAATGAGCAAGCAAACATTGGAGTAGCTATGAAGTTTGCAAAGTCAATCAGTGAGAGTTTCTGCATAGAGGTAGCCTGGGCTTTATTGCCTGGGAGGTGTTGACTGGCAGAATTGTTTGCTGTATAATATAATAAAATAATGTGAGCTAATGTCCAATAATAATAATAATAATAATAATAATAATAGAAACAGTAATATAATAATATATTATACTTTAAATAATCTATACAAATAAAAATGTAATGTTTGTTTGTGGGATTATCATAACTCAAAAACCACTGGATGAATTGACACCAAATTTGGACACAATACACATATCAAGCCAATGAGTGACCATCACTCATAAAAACACTGAAAAACACAATGGAAGAGACTTTAAAAGCCAAAAAACAAAAATTACATTACAACATATGCACAAAACCATATATATATACGCAAGTACACAAATATACACACACAAACATATATATATATATACACACACACACACACACAGACTGGGCCACAGCAACGCATGGCAGGGGACGGCTAGTATAATATAAAATAATGTGAGATAATCTATATAAATAAAAATGTAATGTACATTTGTGGGATTAACATAACTCAAAAACCACTGGATGAATTGACATGAAAATGGGAAACTATACCCCTAACAGACCAACGAGTGACCATCACTCATAACCCCCACCAGCAGAAAGGACATAAAATCCCAAAATAGCTAAATGACGAAAAGCAAAATGATGATGAAGAATAAAAGGGAAGAAAGAGGGAGGAAAGGAAGGAAGGGGAGAAAGAAAGAAAGAAAGAAAGAAAGAAAGAGGGAGGGAAGAAGGAAAGTGAGAAAGAAGGATGGAAGCAAAAAGCGAAGGAAGGAAAGAGGTAGAGAAAGAGGAAAGGAGAGAAATAAAAAAGGAGGGGAAGGAAGGAAAGAGGTAGAGAAGGAAGGAAGGAGAGAAAGAAAGAAGAAAAGGGAAGGAAGGAAAGAGGGAGCAAAAGAAGGAGGGAAAGAAGGAAAGAAAGAGGGAGGGAAGTTTGGCCACAGCAATGCTTGTCAGGGACAGCTAGTTTCCAATAATAATATCATATTATAATAACAGAAACAATAATAAATAATAATATAATATTATAATGGGAACAATATAATATAAAATAATGTAAGACAATGTCCAATAATAGCAATGTAATATTATAATAATAGAAATAGTAATATCCCCTGGGCAACATCCTTGCAGATGGTCATTTCTCTCACACCAGAAGCGACTTGAATTTTCTCAGTAAAATAAAATAATGTAAGAGAATGTCCAATAATGCCCGGGACTCAATTGACATTTGGCCTGTTCCTAATCAGAAAAGTGAATATGCAGGTGAGTCTCCCTGTGTTTCTTAAGACGAGGATTGTTGGTCTTTCTTTTATGGCCATCAAGATTGCGTTCCCCCATTCTGCTTTTAAGAAAGTTCCCGAATTCAGTCCATTGTCACCAATGAGGAAACTTTAGAGGCTTGATTCTCTTGTCATTTTTAGGCCCATCAGCGTGAAACTCACCTCACTTATTCCACATCTCCAACTACAAGCCTGCCAAGTTTCGGAACATTTCTCCAATCCACTGAGAAAGATTGTGAGAAACACTGATTGCTTTGCAATATCCGGGACGGCCCCTGGAATCTGTAACTGTGTTTACTGGGGTTTCTGGGAGTTAACTTACAGAAAATTAATGTTAGTAAGCTAGTGTTGTAACCTGGTCAGATTCTGAATGCTTGGAAGTTGACGATGGAGATGCTGGGATAGAGTCAGAGGATAGAAGTTCCTTTGAAATCTCCTGGCATTTCCCAGGAGACTGGAGAAAATGCTATCAGTTCTCATGAGAACCTGCAGGCTGAGAGAAATGTGGGAGACTAATGTTTGTCTAGGTCAAGGTGCTTGGAAATGCGGAGACAGGGCATGAAACAAAGACAGACTTGCTTTTCCCAGAAGCTTAGAGATAAGGAGAGAAGCAGGTGTGTGAGAACTGATGTTACGGGAGGGATTGAGGCCTTTTGAAGTGTTTCCTGCTGGTACAATCCTTTGTGAGAGCAACGTTGGATTAAGGTGAACAACTCACAGTTTTTGGCCCTATATTCTTGGAATTTATGTATTCAAGTTTCTAACTTCGTTCTTGCTTCTAGTTCATGTGTGGCATAGGTTGCCTGCCTTGGATTCATTCTATTTTGTCTATGGATATTTGTGGATTGATTCTGGAGAATGTATTTGGAAGGATTTTGGATTCCAGGCTCTCTTGGAAAGAACCTTTTGAACTCTGACTCTTTTTTAAAATGTTTGTTGTGTTGTGGTTTAGACAGATGAAGATGAGGGGATTGGGGTTTCAGAGCCTGGGAGAGTGGTGGATGGTTCTTTCAACAAGAGGATTTCAGAGCAAGATTCTGTCTGTGAGACGGGGCTTGAAAGCAGAACTGTTTTGGAGTCCAACAGACAGGGAAATGACCTTTTGCCCACAAGGAGCTTAGCAACCCCTGATAAAGATCTGGCAGACCAAGATAGCTTGTCTGAGGGAACAGCTGGGCTAGACAGGGATATCAGGCTTGATCTTAGGGAGAAAAATGTCAAGCTCAGGAAATCCAAAAGTCTCGGTGAGAAAGAAGTGCAGAGAAAATTTCTCAAGCCAGAAAGCAAAGGTAAAAGAAATGCCTTCATGATTTGCAGCCCTTAAATTAGAGAGTATCGTATTGAGAATTCAGATCAGGCAATGCTGCGTAATAGTAAGGATATCAAGTCCTGATTCCAGTTCATTTTTTTAGTCTAAGTACCTGGGAGTTTTGCTTCATGTTTAAAGTTTTTATAGCCTTGGTTTTTCTGAATTAATGTCCATGTTTTGATTCTTGTTTCCTTGGATTATGCTCATGTTATGATTGTTGTTTTCCTGTACCATTTGGATTATTGCCTTTGAAGTGTTTTACCCTTCACCAGCTTGGTTGGGGTTTTACTTATTGACAACCTTTTCTGATTACCTGTTGGATTTTGACTTTCTTATTTCTTTTGGTGATTTTTCCTTTTTTATATGTACACTCTTCAATAAACTGTTTTACTACTGCTTTTGGATTCCTGGTTGGTGCTAAGGGCGAGGTGAACTCTGGCTGGGGTGCAACAGCTTCTTTTTTATATATATACTCTTCTTTAAATAAACTTCTACATACTGGATTACCTGGACTGAGTGTGGTTTGTGATGAAAAGGTGTTTCGAGGCTTTCTGAATGTTAAGCCTTGGTCAGAAGCCTATACCCGTTGATGATTTCTGTTCCTCTCCAGGTGACTTGCCCCAACACCTGCAGGTGATGATCAACCTCCTTCGCTGTGAGGACAGAATCAAGTTGGTAAGGGAACTAACTGTGCACGTGGCCTCGCCATTCTCCCCTCTGTCTATTCAAACAAAAGCAAAGAGGAGCCACAGGAGAGGACCAGTGTCCTGGAAGGTGGAGGTCTTGGGATTCTAATGGAGCAGAATTCTGCTCCTCAATAGCCTGAAACTCAGTGCCGGTTTGCTTTTCAGGCTGTGCGGCTAGAAAGTGCATGGACGGACCGAGTGCGGTACATGGTGGTGGTCTACAGCAGCGGCCGCCAAGACACAGAGGAGAACATCCTCCTGGGAGTGGATTTCTCCAGCAAAGAAAGGTGCGGGCTTCATACATGGAGTGGGTGGAATAATAATAATAATAATAATAATAAATGTATTACGATCAACAGATCGGACAAAACAAGGAGAAGGCACTTTAATCCCAATATATAAAGCTAAGGTTACACCTATGCTTTTATATGCAGCAGAAGCATGGGACAGTAAGTTCCATCTCAGTAACAATCTCAGCACTTGAAAAGCCTTGGTGGATGATCTCCGAAGAGAGTTAAACAAGGGGAGTGTGTCCCTGCTGGTTCTTCTGGACCTTTCAGCAGCTTTCTATACAATTGACCATAGGATCCTTCTGGGCTGGCTCTCTGGGTTGGGACTGGGTGGCACTGTTTTGCAGTGGTTCCAGTCCTTCTTGAGGGATCAGACCCAGATGGTGGTGCTGGGGGACTCCTGTTCGACTCCCTGACCGTTGGCCTGTGGGATCCCTCTGTCAGGATCACCATATCATCCTGGGACTGGCTGCTTTGGTTTTCTGCCATAAAGAAGGGAGGTGGACAGAAAGAGGCTGGGTACAGTTGGGGAACGTAGTGTAGATAAGACATCTGTTTTGTGAGGGAAATTGAAACTGCAGTCTGTTAACACAGTTAACAGACTGTGTTTGGGCAGGTGGGAGTTGGGGCTGATATATACAGGAGGTTTGAGTGGGAAAAATTTTAGAACTGTATTTTTAGGATTGTGGATAGAAGGAATAAACCACTTGTCTCCAGCATTTTATTGTTGTGAGCTTGATTTTAACTCCCAAGATTTTCCAGGGTCTGACACCCTCAGTGTTCAGTTATGTCCCCCATGCTGTTTAACATCTACATGAAACTGCTGGGAGTGATCATCTGGAGTTTTGGAGTTCGGTGTCAAATTTATGCAGAGGACACTCAACTGTATTACTCCTTTCTACTGAAAGCCAAGGATGCCGTTCTGGTCCTGAACCAGTGCCTGTCATCCGTGATGGACTAGATGAGGGCCAACAAGTTAAAATTAAATCCAGACAAGACAGAGCTACTCCTGGTCAGTTGGAAGGCGGACCAAGGTGTGGGATTACAGCCTGTGCTGGACAAGGTTGCATTCCCCATGAAGACACAGGTCTGCAATCTGGGGGTGATCCTGGACTCATCATTAACCCAGGTATTGGCAGTGGCCAGGTGTGCCTTTGCACAGCTAAAACTAATGTGCCAGCTGCACCTGTACCTTGAGATGCCAGATCTGGCCATGGTAGCCCGCACCCTGGTGCCTTCCCATCTGGACTACTGCAATTCTCTCTATATGGGACTGCCTTTGAAGATAGTTTGGAAGCTGCAACTAGTGCAGAGATCAGCGGCCAGATTGTTAAGGGGAGCACTGTACTGTGAGAGGATGATTTCTGTGCTGCGGCAGCTCCACTGGTTGCTGATCTGCTTCTGGGCTAAATACAAAATGCTGGTCGTTACCTATAAAGCTCTAAAGTCCTCCTCCACCCTGTGTCCAACTCTGGGGATGAGAAAGAAGGGATGCAAACGTATGAAATATTAAACAGTTCGGGCCCAGACTATTTGCAGAAACACATCTCCGTATACAAACCAGTGTGAGCGTTGAGATCTGCAGAGGAGGTTTTAGCTATTGTTCTTAGATATTTTTTACCTAGTGTTAAATTATATTAAATGTTATGTTTGTATGGGTCATTTAAGTCTCATTGTAGGTCATTTTGTCTGTTATTACCTTTAAAGTTAGGTTGCTTTTATATTTCTCAATGTGGTATGTCCTGATGTAATTTGTTTGCATGTTTTTCCATTTTTGGCACAGAATGTTTGGAAACCACCTTGAGTCCCCTTGGGGAGATAAGGTGGTCTACAAAGAGAGTTTGATTCTTTATTGGGAGTTGAGAAAAGAACCTCAGCTGCTGCAGTGAGAGCCCAACTAAAAATTTACACAATCTATGCACAGTCTAAACTCAGAGCATATAATTACTGGTGTGCAATCAATGCAATGGAGCCCGATAGGCTCCCAAAATTGTGTCTATTAGAACAGATAAAAATCCCTACCACAGACCTTTTGGATTACGCCTGTAGTTCCCAACTTTTTTTTGACTAGGGACCGCTTGACCAAGGGCCACTTTGACCAGGGACCACTCTCCAACATTAGTACCAAAAGGGTTATGAATCAGTTTTTGGTCAACTTTAGATTCGGTTTGTTTATTTGGGATGCTGATTCAGAAAATTGCATTGGATAGACCACATCACCTCTAGTTTCTGATACAGAACATATGCCATCCAGTAGTCGCCATCTGCTTGCCCATAGATAACCATCTAGAGCTGACGTGGTCTATCCAATGCAATGTTCTAAATCAGCACCCCAAATAATCCCAGGAACAGGCCTAAAAACGAAGACCCCAAGGTGCCCCTGCTTCTAGGTGCCTTCAGGCTGAGAAATACGGTATATAAATACGGTAAATAAATAAATAATAAATAATGGATTGGCTCTGCTTGGGGAGGGAGGAGAAAGAGAAGCAGCAGTCAGGAGGCTTGTTGTCACACCTTTTGTGGGTAGACAGCCTCTCCCCTCCCAACATCCTTGTTGCCTTGGCACTATAAGAGGGTTTTGTGAGACCAGTCACTCTCGTTGTAACGGTGAGGCTGCGGACCATATTTTAGTTCTTGGAAACCCCTGGTGGTCCATGGACCACAGGTTGGGAACCACTGGATTATGCAAGTGACAAACTTGTATATAAGAAGCTGTGGTCTCCCTGTCTCCTGCGCTTTAAGAGACCAAATAAAAAAGAATGCTAAACAAAGTAGAACAAAAAAAATAATGTCAATAACAAGTTTATGTAAATATAAGTTATCAAATACAGGTAAAAATTCCCTCAAGTTTATGGTGCTATAAAAAGCTGGTCACTTTAATGGTTACCATTGGATTCTGATCTGCCAGCAAATAATGTGTGTAAAACTCACCAGTTCTTCCAGGAATGGGTTGTTGTAGGTTTTTCCGGGCTATATGGCCATGTTCTGGAGGCAATTTTTCTCCTGACGTTTCGCCTGCATCCTCAGAGGTAGTGAGGTCTGTTGGAAGTAGGAAAAATGGGTTTATATATCTGTGGAATGACCAGGGTGAGACAAAGGACTTTTGTCTGCTGGGGCTAGCTGTGAATGTTTCAGCTGATCACCTTGATTAGCATTCAATGGCTTGGAAGTGCCTGGGGGGAATCTTTTGTTGAGAGTGATTTTATGTGCCTGTTTGTTTCCCCTCTGTTGTTTTGCTGTTGCTTCCAGGAATGTTTTGTAGAATTGGATGGATTAAAGTGTCCCTACTTGTGCTTTACCATAAGTTTTTTTCTAAGTCATAATAAGAATCAGAGCCAGTTTGTTACTGCAATAGAGTAGTGTTTTCTGTATTTTGGAAGGATTAAAATATTAGATTTTTTAATATTGAATATCTCTGGTTCAAATTTCCATCCTCCTAACCTAGCAGATAGGTTGACAACCCTGCTCTACGGAGACGGTGTTCCACTTCTCTCTCCTACTTGCATTGTCTTATGGTGGTTATTAAATGCTCTGGGATAGTAAGTGCAAAACCATGGAAAAGTTAGTGATTAACTACAATAAGTCCTAGTGTTTGCTAGGAAATGGAGGATACAAAAGTGCCAAATGAGTGAGCATCCCACTGAGCAGGTAAAATCTTATGAATATTCTGGAGTGATTTTTCGAGCAGATTGTCATCTGCTGGGTTCAGTATTTTCTGAATACGGATGAACTATAACTCAAAGCAGATGTTGTCACCTCTCTTTCTTGCAGCAAAAGCTGTACCATTGGGATGGTCCTTCGCTTGTGGAGCGACACCAAAATCCACCTGGATGGCGATGGGTAAGACGATGCAAGCGCAGTCTGGGCGCAAGTGGAAGGAAAGCAGTCTTCATTCCCTCCGAAGCAGGGCTCGGGGCATTCGCTGCTGTATGTCGTTTTTCCACACTCTTGAGTCCATCTCTCCCTTCTTCTCTTTGCTAGTGGATTCAGCGTCAGCACCGCCGGGAAGATGCATATCTTCAAGCCGGTTTCAGTGCAAGCAATGTGGTAAGTAGCTTGATGTCTCTCTCTAGCAGCCCATAGAGTTACAAGCTTGGTGGGTGCAAGGAAAGCTGTGGATGTAGCATATCTTGATTTCAGTAAGGCCTTCGACAAGGTTCCCCATGCCTTTAATATGACACAAATTGTCTAGGTCTACCTTTTTTTGAAAAGGTCTCCAAAACAAGTAGTGCCAGGCTAATCTTATCTCCTTTTCAATAGAGTTACAAGCTTGATAGATGCAGCGAATGCTATGGATAGAGCATATTGTGATTTCAGGAAGGGCTTCGACAAAGCCCCCCATGACCTTCTTGCAAGCAAACTAGTCCATTGTGGGCTAGGCAAGGCTACAATTAGGTGGATCTGTAATTGGTTAAACTACCAAACCCAAGGGATGCGTCTCCCCAATGGTTCCCCTTCTTCATCCTGGAACGAAGGGACTCGTGGAGTGCAATAAAGAGGGTTCGGTCCTGGGCTCAGTGCTGTTCAACATCTTTATTAATGACTTGAATGAAGGTTTAGGGGGCAGGCTGATCACCTCCTGTTTGGACATGGGACCAAACAAGGAGGGAGAGCTAATACTCCAGAGGACAGGATCAGGATTCAAAGTGATTCCAACAGCTGAGAGAACAGATTGACCAAAACTAACAAAATGAACTTTAAAAAGGACAAATGTAAGATGCGACAGTTCGGCAGGAAAAAATGAAATGCAAAGATACAGGATTTGGGATGTCTGGCTCAACAACAGTCCAAGTGAGAAAGATCTTGTAGTTTTTGTGAACAGGAAGAGCCAAGATGTGATACAGCAGCTCAAAAAGCCAATGAGAAAGTTAATATAGTAAATATAGCAATAACCATAATACATATAATATAATAATAATGTAATAATAAACATAATTATGATTATAACAATTTTTTGTGTCAGGAGCAATTTGAGAAACTGCAAGTCGCTTCTGATGTGAGAGAATTGGCCATCTGCAAGGACGTTGCCCAGGGGACACCTGATGTTTGATGTTTTACTATCCTTGTGGGAGGCTTCTTTCATGTCCCCACTTGGGGAGCTGGAGCTGACAGAGGGAGCTCAACTGCTCTCTCCGGATTCAAACCGCCAACCTTTCGGTCAGCAGTCCTGCCGGCACAAAGGTTTAATCCTTTGCGCTACGGGGGCTCCTAATAATAATAATAATAATACATATAATAATAAGAATGACTCTAAGCTGGAAGGTATCCAGAGGAGGGTATGTAAAATGATCAAAGGTCTGGAAACCATGAGTAATCCTTCTGAGGAACATCTTAAACAACTGGGTCTGTTTAGCCTGCAGAAGGTTGAGAGGAGACATGACAGCCATGTTTACTAGGCTTGGTTGATCCAGCTCGTTAATTTCTAATCTCGTTATGAAATCGTAAATAAAATACCTCAAGAAGCGATATCGACGTGTTTTGGCAACCCGGAAGTGTTTTTGCCATATTGAAGCCGCGCTCGCCATCTTCCTTACGACTTCCGGCAGTGAATTGTAAATGCTGGGGGCGTGGCCTTCAGGAACAGCTGTTCTTACCCACGCACACCTCCTTCCTCTTTGCATCGGCGGCTTTGCAAGGTGGGCTTTGCGAAGTGGGCGTGGCTACCTCCCTGGTGACAAGCGGCGATGTGGAAGAGCTGGCCGTAGCCACGCCCATCTCGCAAAGCCCACCTCGCAAAGCCCACCTCGCAAATCCGCTGATGCAAAGAGGAAGGAGGTGGGTGTGGGTACGAACAGTTGTTCCTGAAGGCCACAACCCCAGCAGCCTCCAAGGAGAGCTGTGCTTGGCCACGTCGCTGGGGGCGAGGCCTCCAAGGAGTGTTAGTTTTAGTTTTAATTTTAGAGTGTTTTAAAATCTCTCATCTTTCCTTCCCTTCCCTTCCGTGGCAAGCTGTCTGTCATGCAGAAGGGAGAGGTGGGCGTGGCCAAGCACAGCGCTCCTTGGAGGGGGCTGGGGGCTGGGGGCGAGGCCTCCAAGGAGGGCTGTGCTTGGCCACGCCCACCTCTCCCTTCTGCATGGAAGCTCGCGGCAAGGGAAGGAAGGGAAACTGCGAGATTTTAATGGTTCTGGAGGGAGGGAGGGGCACCTTCCATTAACGAAACAAAGGAAGCGATTCGTATTTCCTGGTATTTCCGATCTTTTTTTAAAGAAAATTTCAGAAATAATTTCAAAATCGAACCGCCAGCGCCCCCTATATACAAAACGAGTTTAGAACCATTTTTTTCTTGATCAACCAAGCCTAATGTTTACATATGTGAAAGGGTATCATGAGGAAGAGGGAGTAGGCTGTCCTGGAATCTAGGACTCGGAGCAGTGGGTTCAAATGACAGGAAAGAAGATTCTACCTGAACATTAGGAAGAATTTCCTGGCTGTAAGAAGAGCTGTTCAACAGAGGAACTCTGTGCCTCAGAGTCCAGTGGAAGCTCCTTCCTTGGAAACTTTTAAGCAGAGGCAGGGTGGCCTTCTGTCACGGATGCTTTGATTGTGCTTTTTCTGCATGGCAGAAGGCAGGCCCATAGCCAGGATTTTGTTTCGGGGGGGGGGGGGGCTGAATTTTTTTCAGGGGGGGTTCGGGGGGGGCTGAGTTTTGGGGGGGGGCTGAGTCTGAGTGAAAGAGGGTCTAGCCTAGCAAACCTTTTGTATCATTACCCCAATACCCCCATGCATATGGGATATATTGAGTATGGTGATCAGATCATGATATGAATAAACATAACAGTTTAAATAATGCACCAGTAAGGCCTTTTCGCGGACCACCATGAGAATTTCGGGGGGCTACATGCCTGGCAGAAGGGGGTTGGACTAGATGGCCCATGGGATCTCTTCCAACTCGTATTATCATTCTATGATTCTGTGTTTATTCCCATTTGCTCCTTAACATGAGCCTTTCCAGTCTCCTGAGAACGAGTCCCAGTTTGCCTTTCCTCATGCAGGAGGGTGCAATCCCTGAACCACTGTCATAGAAAGGGACTTCACAGGTGGGCAAGGTGAAGGTTGAGATGACTAAACTCCCACACCTCCTCGCTTTGTTACTGCTCTCACCCAGCTGCAAACCCACCTCTGGATTCCTTAAATCCAGCTGGAAAATGACATCTCATTTGCGTGGAATCCTCTGTGCTCTCAGGTGTCGCCAGGAAATCATTTTGGAAGGTTAATCATGTGAGAAACAGAAGCTGACAGCAAGACGAATTTGTTTCCTCATCTATATTGCAAAAGCATGCATGTGTCAGGCGACGAGTGATGAAATCCATCCACGAGAGCCCTTCTGCAATCGCAGTCATCTCACCTCTTCCATGCTTGCTGACACCTTATAGCCCTCTCATGTATCAAATCTGGTTGAGAAGATAAGAGGCAGAGATGACCTGTAAGATGTTTGTGGTCTCTGGCTCTCAGCAGTCCCGGCCAGTGATATGGCATCATGGGTGTTGTAGTCCCGACATCTTTTGCCTGAGGCTGCTTGGAATGGGGGCACCATCTCACTTGTTCTTCTGTCAAGTATGGAAACAAGCATTGACTGCTCTTGTGTGAGTTTATGCCGACATTCCTCGGCCTTCCTGCGCTGGCTCTGTCATTCTTGGGCCAAGATTGATATCCCACTGGTTCTTTCCTTGTCTTGGCAGGTCCGCCCTGCAGATCCTATACAAGGCATGCGACGTGGCGAGGCAGTACAACTACTTCCCCGGCGGGATGGCGCTGGTCTGGGCCACCTACTATGAGAGCTGCATTGCCTCGGAGCAGAGCTGCCTCAACGAGTGGAATGCCATGCAGGACCTGGAGTCCACCCGCCCGGACTCACCGGCTTTATATGTGGAGAAGTGAGTTGGCCACGCTTCTCTGTTGGGTTGTGTAGGCCGTAGTTGGGTTGCAGAAGTTGAACTTGGAAGGGTGGGTGCGAAGTTGGAAAGTTTCATGGCAGGGTGTAGGCCTGAACTTGGCTCTCCCAAATTCTTGTACAAACTCTCTTTTTCCTTTTCTGTTCAGGCCAACAGAAAGGGAGCTGGCGGAACGGCTCATCAAGGCCAAACTCCGGAGTATTATGATGAGCAAAGATCTGGAGAACGTTACTTCGAAAGAAGTAAGCTGGAGCTGCTGTACAGGGACAATCCCTTTCCCTGCTGAGCAAGACAGGGCCGTGGGGTGACAAAGCCATAACAAGCATAACAACCAAAGTGCTAATGCCTTCCACAGAGAGCAAGTTGCATGAAGATGTTGACCCATTTCTTCTCCAGAGGTCACATTCTTGCCAGCTTTATTTGGATGTGTGTAGGGTGCTTAGTGAATAGACAAAGGGGGTGGACTGGATAACCCTTGGAGGCCTCTTCCCACTCTCTGATGTTATTTGCTTGTTGCAGCTCAGCCACCTGCATGAAACCTTTTTACCCAAATATAGCTCAGCCAAAAGGTATTCAATCCACAGATTAAAAGTTTATTAAAGAAATGATTGTTCTGTAGAAAAAGCTATTTCATAAACACATTTGAAGGTAAAAGATACAAAAGTAATCCCAAGGTATACGTAATCGGTCAAAACGAAAGTACATCCAAACACAGGATTCAAAAGTCATTTCAAAATATATCCCACAGTCATAGTATTCTTTAATGCAGCAATAAACAAAGTCCAGCTCTGAGAATAAAGCCAGAGTCCCCAAAAGGTAAACAAAAAACTGTATCCAAACGAGATTCCCCACTCACAAACAGGAAAACATGATATGAAACCAAGGCAAGAACCTCCTACCGTGGTGCTCAAGGAGAAGGTGACTTTCTCTTGAAAATACAACGTTGCACTCACACAGAGCAACCAAAGAAGATAGCTTAAGAAACCTATGTTTTGCCCATGGGGACACTACCCGTCTGACACCTGGAATCCCTCTATTTATTTTTCAAATGCTCAGAAAACCGTAATTGCCTCTGCTTAGCCCTGTCTTGTCATAATTGAAGCCTTTGAGTTATAGGCAACACCCCATGTCTTCCACCTCCCTGACATTACTCTCAGGATCAGGGAAAGTCTCTGTCAAAGTCTCATGTGAAACATTCTCGCTAAGAGCAGATCTGCCTGTAAGGCAATTCCCATTATCCAGGGAAGAACTGCTTTCTTCCAGAGGTACTGCAGAAGTAGCGGACTCCAATTCAGGAGCACAAGGCCCCACCAAAGAGTCCCCCTTCCTCCTCCTCAGACCAGGCCTCAACAGTGCTCTTCTATGAAAAGCTAAGTCTGATATGACCCTGGATGCCTATTTTAAAGCCTTGACCTCCCCATCTGCCTGCTTCTCCTTGGCCAATGTTCCAGCGATGCTCTTGACATTCTCTTTATGGCTTTCTTTCTCGCCAGATCCGGAATGAGCTGGAGAAGCACATGAGCTGCAATTTGAAAGAGTTCAAAGAATTCATCGACAACGAGATGCTGCTCATCCTAGGCCAGATGGACAAGCCCTCCCTGATTTTCGATCACCTGTACCTGGTAAGCGAGCGCTGCTCCTTGAAGCCGTTTCCCCAAGCCTCTCTTAGCTGCTCCTCTGCTTCTTGCTATGGATTGTGACTGGGATATGCTTCTTGCAGGGTTCAGAGTGGAATGCCTCCAACTTGGAGGAGCTCCGGAGCTCAGGGTGAGTAGTGCTCCTTCCTCTGAACAAGTGGGCAGCGAGCCATTGAGGGTGTTTTCTGCAAAGAAAAGGTTTGGGAAAATATCTGGCAACATTGGAAAAATGTGCCAGCTGGCTCCATGTCTTAGAATCCTTCTTGGACTCTGACCATTGTTTCCAATTGAAATGTTTCAAAGTTTTGCCCTAGTTTTAAAAAAAGAGGAAGGAATCCAGGCAAGAGATAACATACATACTTATTAAAATACTATTATTTATTTATTTATTTATATACCGACCTTCTCACCTCTCTTGAGGGACTCAGACCGGTTTCCAACCATATCACATACAATCAATAAAACGTCATAATACATATTACAGTAAAACATTAAAACAGCAATTACAATCAATAACTATAATGGTCAGTCGTCATACTAAAATGGTTGCTCATCATCCTGCATCCATATCTCAGGGAGTTGGCTCACTACTACTACTACTACTAATAATAATAATAATAATAAAAAATCTGGGACCCAAAGCAGCTTCCAACATGTTAAAAATACAGTACAAAATCAACAACAATCAAAGACACAGATATAAAATATGATAAGCAATAATATATTTATATGCAGCCTTTCCCCCTGGACATTTCCTGATCCGATAGGTAACCCGTTTTAGAGCAAAGCTCCTTTCTCTGTACAAGGCCAGGCTTGAACTGTGTGCAGATGACTGTTTTTGTCCCTGCAGCGTGGACTACATCCTGAATGTCACCCGGGAGATTGACAATTTCTTCCCCGGCATGTTTACCTACCACAATATCCGCGTTTACGATGAAGAGACGACGGACCTCCTGGCCCATTGGAACCAGGCCTACCATTTCATCAACAAAGCCAAGTAAGCTGGTGCAGGGAAGCAACGCTCGAGCATGGCTTGGAGGAGGAAATGCCTTAACCTACATAGCCTAGTCCTCTGCCTTCAACTGTGGGGCATCCCGTTGGGAGGCATTTGCGAAAAGCAGGAGGACAGCAGTGACTGCGAATACCCTTTTTGTGGTCCATTCTTTATACTTGGGCTGCTGTTCTTCTTTACGATGCCTTTGGCATGTCACAATGCCTTCTGCTTTATGTAGATTATCTCATCATTCTTTTCCAGTAGGCCAACGTATTGCCAGTGGCAGGTTGAGCTCTAAATGAACATTTTCTCGTCCTTCGTTATGGCGTGCCAGCTGTCCGCACCCCTAATTCCATGATGTCCCTCTTTACAGATGGGGGCTTCTTGGAAGGGCCCCCCGTCCCTCCAATAAATGCAAAACAGGGCTGCATTGGTGGGCAGGCGAGAGACAGAGCCCAGCATTGGTCCCACCACTTACCCACTGGCCCCGGGGGCTTGAAGACTTAATACCCTTGGACAGAATAATGGAAAAAAAAATAGAAATTGGCTAGAAGTATTAGGATTACATAAACAAGGAGGATATAGAGGGAAAATAGAGGAAGAAGATAAGATGGAAGAGATCTTTTAAAATACAGAAACTAAAGAGAGAATTGGCAGGACTAATATACAAGCTGATGGTCAAGGACAGTGAATATATGATAGAAAATGCAAACTAAATGACAGAAAGAAGGACCACTGGTAAGTCAAACAATAGAGGGACTCAAAATAATCAAAAAGGATTAATACAAAAAAACAAGAACTGTTCAAAATGATGATTTGAGCAGGATGAGCTGCAATAGCTGGGGAATGGGAAAACGTTAAAAAACAGACTATAGAAAATTGGAATCACTATTTATGATCAGGTCTAGTCTGAAAACATAGCGCATGTAATTTGGGAGGATACATAGAAGGCTAAAACAGAAGACATTATAAATAAATGGAAGACAGGAATAGGATAGGTAGAAAGAGGCAAAGCCAGTGTAACTATTGTACAGATATTAAGGCAATTGTTCACATGGCTAAAGAAAGAGATATAGGGTCAATATGGGGTCAAGTGGACATGGATGAGGGGTGTTAACAATGACAAAGTCACCAAAGAGAAGGCTGTATTAAAAAAAGAAGATGCAGACAAAGAAATGTTACATGAAAATGAAGTGTGAATAAGTATGAGCACCAACAGAAACTAAGTGTAAGCAAGATGTTGTAACAACAACAAAAATATTGTGGGGAAAAACAGCATCCTTCTCCTCTTCTTTCTCGGCTGCCAGGAGAAACCGCTCCAAATGCCTGGTCCACTGCAAAATGGGCGTGAGCCGCTCGGCCTCGACGGTAATCGCTTATGCCATGAAGGAGTTTGGCTGGTCCTCGGAGAAGGCCTACAATTATGTGAAGCAGAAGCGCAACATCGCAAGGCCCAACGCTGGCTTCATGAGGCAGCTCCAGGAATACCAAGGCATTCTGGATGCCAGGTATGTATGGGGGAGACAGCTGAGCTGGGGATGAGTTGGGGCTATCATGTTGGAAGTAGAAACCTTCTCAAGCCTCCACTATTATTTGTTATGTATATAATTCAGATTGTTCACTGTATTGTATATGTGCGTATTGTTGGGCAAGCTGCCTTATTAACAAAAGACATTCGCCATGAATGCACGTCATGAGGTGCCCCTTTACCTTCCTGCAGAGGTGGTACTTATTGATCTACTTGCATTGCATGCTTTTGAACTGCTAGGTAGGCAGAAACTAGGGCTGACTGTTGGGAGCTCAACCTGACTCACGACTTCGAACTGATAACTGCTGGTCAGAAGCTTTTTCTGCAGCTAGCAGTTTTAACCACTGTGTTAACACGATAATATCTTTTCTCTGTCTCGCTTAGCAAACAGCGTCACAACAAGCTGTGGAAGCAGCAGCCGGAGGACCACCGCCCCCAGAACGTGGACAGTTCCAACGGGCCCGAGGATTTCCTGCTGGACTGTTTGGACGCTGAGCCGGAGGACTTCCAGCACTGCTTCCGCTGCCTCCCGGATGCTTTCCCTGGTGACAAGGAGGCTTTTTTCCCAGCAGAGGACCTGCAGAAGGATGTGCTTCTGGATGAAGCCGACCCAGACACCGACCTGCCCTTCCTGGGGTCCTCCTCCAAGTCGGAAGAGGAAAACCCGACAGACAAGGAGATAGCAGAGGAAAAGAAAGCACCCCGGAAGGACATCACAAAACCAGAGGACAGGGAGAAACCCCTGGAGCGGTGGAAACGGCACTCGTCTGGACCAGAGGAGGAGAGCAGGGCCAACTGCGAGAGCTCGAGCAGCAGCAACAGCAAGCGGAGCTGCCCTGAGGACTTTGAGGTGTGTTGCATGACGCTCCACTGAGAGTGTGTCATTGTCTCCAAAGCATATTTCATTCCAGAGGGGATGCTCTGCAAGAGAGGTGGGCAGAAGGTGTTACAGGTTGATGATGCATGCAGAACAATAGAAGCTTTTATCTTTTCATATGAGCAACACAAGCAAAAGAAGGAAAACATAATTTTTACTCTTATGAGCAGAGTCCAAAAAACCAGTAACTTCAACACAAACTTGCAGTATTGCATTAATACAGTCACAGTCCCTCTGGAGTAGCACATTCATGTATAGCCCTTGCATTTAACTCATGCCATTCTCTCCACAGAATTTATGTCTCTTCCAACCCTTTCTTGGACATGGAGATGAGCAGAGAAAATAAACTTGCCTGCATCAAACAGGCAGCAACCCAGGAGCTCATGCAGAGTAAGCTCAGGAGCAAGCATTCAGTGAGCCCAAAGTTGAATTGCAAACACTCCCCAGTTATATTCCTTCGGGAGTGACCCAAACTTGCTGTCCATAATTATCTCATTCACCCAACCTGTGTATTGTAATTAACCAGGGTGAGTCTTTTTCTCTTGGAAAGGGCCAGCACGTTTGGGGCACTTTCATGCAGGGCTTAAACTAGCTCCAAAGCGGGTTTAAGTCCCCACAGGCACCCAAAAGAAGTAGACTTTCCTGGGGGTTGTCCCCATTCCAGTGCGATAACTACCCAGGAAGGCCTGGGTCTAATGGGGTATCAAAGTAATTTGGGACAAAGCAGGGTTTACCAGCTTTATTATTTGTTTATTTGTTTGTTTGTTTATTTCTACCCTGCTTTTCTCCCAGAACAAGACTCAAAACGACGCCTACGGTAAAAGCGAAGTAATTCAGGACAAAACTTTTATATCAAAGTACATGATATCAAACATGCTGTTTTATGGGAGAGTATATATATCTTTGGGCACTAAAAAACACTTCTGAAGCATGGCTGTTTTTTTATGCACTGGCAAAATCTCTGTTTTTCTAACAGATCAGAGATAACAGGTTATTCAGTCTAAACAACTGAAATTATTGCCTTGCATAATTATATCTGGACGTATACTGAAAGAGAAGATTCGACTCTAAAGGGATTTTGGCTCTTCTCTGAAAGTTCATGCTGGTAAAAGTGTGACGTGTTCCGCATTTTGGGCCTGCCTGGAAGGGTCCTTGGGAAGAGCCTCTTGGGCAGACTGTGGCCACGGCGGGGTTCAAACTTCTCCCAAGGGGCAGCCTGAGTGAGAAGCTATTGGCCGGCCTTTCTCTGGCTTTCCCAGGCCCCCAAGCTGATGTGCTCCCTCTAAAGCAGATATGGGGAAACCTTCTCCTTCCTTCCTTCCTTCCTTCCTTCCTTCCTTCCTTCCTTCCTTCCTATCCCTCCCTCCCTCCTCCCTCCCTCCCCCCTCCCTCCCTCCCTCCCTCCTTTCTTCCTTCCTTCTTTTTCCTTCTCCTTCCTCCCTTTTCTTTCTTCCTTCTCCCTCCCTCCCTCTTTCTCTCTTCCCTTCCTCCCTTCCCTTCCGTCCTTCCTTCCTTCCCTCCCTCCCTCTCCTCCTTCCTCCCCTCTCCTTCCTTCCTTCCTTTTCTCTTCCTTCCTTCCTTCCCTCTTTTCCCTCCCTCCTATTTTCTCATGCCCTCCTCTTTCTCACTATCCTATCTTTCCTTCCTTCTCTCTTTCCTTCCTCACTCCCTTCCTTACCTTCCTCTCCCAACCTCCCTCCCTCCCATCCTTCCTTCCTTCCCTCCCTTCCTCTTTCCTCCCTCCTTCCCTCTCTCTTTCTCCTTCCTTCCTCCCCTTTTGTCTTTCCTTCCTTCTCTCTTTCCTCCCTCTCTCCTTCCATTCACTTCCACCCTTCCTTTCTTCCTTCTCTTTTTCCTTCCTCCTTTCCTCCTGGGGGATGTTTAGCTGGGAGAAGAGAACATATAGAGGGAACATGCGAACCATGTTTCAAGATTTCAAAGGATGTCCCATTGAGGGGGGAGGGGAACTGACTTTCTGCTGCTCTAAAGACCTTGGCACAAGGGAGCAATGGTTTCAAATGGCAGGGAAAGATATTTGACTGAAAAAAATAGTAAGGACTTCCTGGAGAGTGACATAGGCTGCCTGGGAGTTTGGTGGAGTCTCTTCTGGAGGCTTTTCTGGAGAGGTTTGATTGTGCCTTCCCGCATGGCAGGGGGTTGGGCTGGATGGCCCTTGGGCGTCTCTTCCAACTCTAGGATTCTAGGATTCTATATCAGGAGCAGGCAATAGGGGGTTTAATAAATACACTTTTTCTCCCCCATCCACCATCTCATCCTGACCAAGGCTAACTCTTTTGGGATCCACAAGTTTCCTGTCTTTCCTTCACTTTCTGTCTTCGAAGGAGAAGAGGAAGGGGAGGAAAGGGCAGGGAGGGGGCTTGGGAAGAACACTCTCCTTTTCGGCTCGCTCACTCTGTTCCAGCCCACCATGCAACCCCCCAAGTTAGAAAGTTTGCCCATGCCTGCTCTAAAGCAAGCCAAGGCTGCTGTTTTGGTGACCGCAGCTTTCTGTGGCTTTGTCTGTCGGGAAGCAGGACATCCTGGCTCAGGAAGTTGTAGACTTTGACTCTGGTTTCCCCCTGTTTGGAGCAGCGATGCCTCTGAGACGTGGAAAGAGCAGCTTTTGCTCTGCTTCTAGGGGACGGGAAGCCACACAAGATGGAGATGGTGCTTTGGTGTTTATAGAGAAGGCAACCTCTTACAACTCTTTTCTCTGTTGCCTGTGTTGGAATCTGTGATAGGTGGTGGTGTCTCCGTGTTTTCCTGCCTTGTCTGAACCACATCAGGTGCACGAAGCTCTTTGCCTGCACATCATAAACACCCATCCCCCTTGTAAGGTAGAAGCTTTCTCAAAAAAGGGAAGCGCTCGTATCATTATTTCCCACTTGTTTCTACATGTGGTTGTAAGATAAGGATTGACAACAGAGGTGGGTAGTAAGGATGTGTGGTCAAAAGTCATTACAAAACCTGGGACACTGGCACTTCGTTTCTAAAGTGTTTCTAAAGTATACTTAGTGAAAATTTTGTGACTGTAACACGACTAACGAAATTATGTTACTATTTCGTTTCAGTAATTGCGCATGTGCATAATTTAATGACTATAATTGGGGACACTTCAAGGGCCCCTTTCTCCCTGATTTTTAAAGCCATTGGAATGAAACTTGCTTCAATGGTAGAACACATTGACCACTGTTAACCCACCAAATTTCAGAATGTTTAACTTATCCATAGATTTTTGGCAAATTTTCAAAATTTTAGAGAGAGAGGCCTCTCCCTCTGCTATGCTGATTGGTACTTCCTGATGCTGATGAAGTCTGGGAAATGTAGTTTAGGACAGGATCTTTTGAATTCTCTGGTATAGGGCTCCTCCCTTCCTAAACTACATTTCCCAAAGTTCTGTGCTGTTGCCAAAATGCACTGCTCCCTTTTTTGCCCACTGCTAATGCTGAGGCTGCATTAATTTCACAGAGGAATAGAAAAACACTAAGGCTTTGCTTCCTTGCCTTGTATTGAATATGAAACTGACTGGGAGCTTTTTGAGATTTTCAAAACTAAAGCAAAAAAATATGGGTAAGTTTTGATTCTGAAAGTATTTGGTGTGGGCTGCGCAAACACTTTGGATATGGCTTCTGACTTACAAAACTTCCAATTTTCTTACAATTTCTGAAACTTCCAATTTTTATGCATTAGTCTAGTAGGTGGTGAACAAATAGACTGCCTCTCACTATGGAGGCTCTTATTAACTAATAGGCGTAAATAACCTAAGTGACTGGGTCAAATTATTTAATGGATGCGTCTTTAAGGCTGCTGGCAAGAATTGGCAGGATCCAGGGCTTGCCTCAGAACTCTTTACTTAAAGCAGCACTTACTCACTTGGCTGTTTCAAGGTCCAGGAAGATAGCATACAGCCGCGGGCACAAAGCAAAGATAGCATGTAAAACAGCTCTGTATTTTAACAAAGCAACTAATTAATTAATGTTTTAGGGACTCCAACGGACTCCAGGCGGGTCACAACATCAACAAAATAAGCAAAATAAAATAAAGCATTCATTAAAATAAGTTATAAAACCATAAAAGTTTCAAGGGTGCTCTCTTGCATCATTCAACTTGTAGATGATAAAATTTAATTTAATATTTATTTATTTACAGTATTTCTATTCAGCCCTTCTCACCATGAAGGGGACTCAGGGCGCATCACAGAACATATGTATGCGGCAAACATTCAATACCATTTATACACCGACAAGACAAACAATTTTACATAGATAGAGGTGTATATATAGGCTTTTCCCATCTTTAGCATCTTGGAGGTTGTGCTCGGTTCCAGCCATGAGGGGGTGCTGTCATTCCATCTCCCCTGCTGAAGAGCTTTGCTCCAAAACTTCCTCTAAAAATTTACACAGTACCCCTAAATACCTCCAAAAATTCCCGCGGTACATTTAAGATCTACATATGTCGGGCTGATCGGAGTAAATATAACGTATAAATTCAGTTTTAGCATACTTATTTACTGTATGATTATAGGTGTCTTATTTAACTTACTACATAGAGTTTTATTAAGTTATATCAAGCTTTTGTTGTTTGGTTCACTTTGGTAATATAGCCTAAGGGCTAATCAATAAAAATTATTTATTTACCAAGCAAAGACTTAGAACAAGAAGTGTGCTACAAACACCGATTCAAACACCGTAGTCAAGGTTGCAGCTCGGGAATTCACTGATTAATATTCAAGGATCAAGAGGCCAAAGCATAGTCGTAGTTCCAAAGGTCCAGCCAGAGAGTCAAGACTGAACCAAAATACGCAGTCAGGAGTCAGTCTAGGGATTCAAGGTACATCAAGGCTCACAACAGGATACAAGATGCTCGCCAGGGCTCAAGGTTCTTCAAGATACAAAGTTCCAAGAGTTCACGAGACAGGTCAGGATACCACAATCCACCAGTATCCATGGCCCAGTATGGCAGACACTTTTCTCCCAAAGAGCCGTCCCTAGCCAGGCTCTTTTTATGCAGCTGATCACAGCTGCCATCCTATCTCTGCAGGCCTCTGCCCTTAATCGCTTCCACCTGTAAGTTCTTCCATACAGATTACTCTGCCCCTTAGAACCTCCCTGCTAGTTGTGACGTATTTACCCATCACTACACTGCCAAGCATTCCATATACTAATCACCACCACCTGCTAGGCAGGCCTCTATACTACCCACCATTAACTGCAGGACATGGCAAGAATGGCCTTTCTGATGGGATAGAGGTTGGCTGGTATTAGTATTAAAAATTGTGTCCTCCCATTCTTCGGACTGCAATGTCTTGCTGGTCGGCCTGATGAAGCTAAGCATTGCTTACACCTCTCATTTTATGCCTCTTTCTCAGTCCTCTCTTTCTGTCCCTTTTCAGCATGATGCCGTCTTTGGGATCCTCAGCAAAGTCAAGCCTTCCTATAAGCCGTGTGGCGACTGCATGTACTCTTCAGCCAGCGACGTCTTTGCAGAGCCCTGCGTGAGGCTACCTCCATCTCCTCCGTGCCGCAGCCCCGCCACCGTCTGCACGCAGCCTTCCTTCCCGGCGCACCGGACACCCCACGTTTTGGAGGAAAATCTGAAGGAGATCCAGGGCACAAAACCAAACAGCCTGCCTTTGGTCCTAGCGGGGGGCCATGCGCTGGGCTCTCGACACCCTCCGGAGGGTACTTTGCCCAGGAAAGACGTCCGGACAAGCAAGGACCTCAAGCACTTGCTCTTCAGCAAAGACCCCGAGAAGCCCACTGCCACCAGCTACTTGATGCAGCACCAAGAGTCCCTCCTTCAGCTCCAGAAGGCCGGCTTGGTCCGAAAGCACACCAAAGAGCTTGAGCGGCTCAAGAGCCTGCCATCAGAGACCTCTGGCGCGTCGACTGACATGACCATCCCAGAGGAACCCCAAGAGGTAGCCTCCCACCCTGGCAAGATGCCTCTCCTCTGTCCCTTGCTTCCTCGGGATGCCGGAAACGATGCTGAGAAGCTCCGCAAAACCCCTCCGGCCGCCGGGCCTTCTCACAAGACGGAGCACACCAGTAGCTTCAGCAAAGACTTCCTCAAGACCATCTGCTACACCCCTCCCTCCTCGTCACGGAGCTCCAACCTGACGCGTAGCTCCAGCAGCGACAGCATCCACAGCGTCCGGGGGAAGCCCGGCCTGGTCAAGCAGCGCACCCAGGAGATTGAAACCAGGCTGCGCCTTGCTGGCTTAACTGTCTCCTCCCCGCTGAAGCGTTCCAACTCCCTGGCCAAGCTGGGCAGCCTCAACCTCTCCTCTGAGGACCTCACTGGTGACGGGGAGCTGTCCCCCTTGAACACCAAATCCGGTGAGGTCTCCGCAGGCTGCAACTTCTGTCCATCTTCGAAAAATGCAGAAGAGGGACCTAAGCTGAAGCCCACGCCAGGGAAATTGAAAGACATGTCCTGGCTTGGGAAGAGCTGACCCCACGACACTGCTGTTGTCAAAGAGGTGTTATTAAATGCAAGAGGCAAACATTTCTCCCCCTTTTCCATGGGTTGCTGCAGACAGTGGAGTTCAAGGAGGCCAAGAAAGAAGATACTTAGAGTCTTCCGGAGCACCAGAACATTCCAGTGCGGAGTTTTGTCGAGTTTTTCTTTACAATGCAAGCTGCACACCATGGTTCATTCTGAGAAGCCCTTGCTCACATTTCTCCCTTTCTTTCCATGGGGTGCTGTAGACAATGGAGTTCAAGGAAGCCAAGAAAGAAGGCACTCGGAGTCTTCCAGGGCATCAGAGCAGCCGAATGCCAAGTTTTACAGAGTGTTTCTTTGCAAAGCAAACTGCACACCATGGTTCATTCCGAGAAGTCCTCGTTCACATTTCTCCCCTTTCTTTCTGTGGGGTGCTGCAGACAATGGAGTTCAAGGAGGCCAAAATAGTAGGCGCTAGGGAGTCTACTGGGCAGGAGAATGGCCAAATGCAGAGTTTTCCTTTTCAATGCAAACTGTGCACAATTATTCATTCCGAGAAGCCCTCACTCAGGGAGCCGAAATGTCAAAATGCTACCTCTGTTCTTTGGGAATTAAAAAAAACATGAAACCCTTACTTTACAAAAGTAGAAGAAAGTCTCCATGACCAAGAGTTAGTTTCTGTATATCGGGCAGAAAGTGGACTTCAACTCCCAGCTGGGGAATGGTGGTTTTCTGTGGGGAATGGTAGGTTTTCTGTGTTGCTCTGCATTGCCCTGTATCTTGCGGTCTTAAAGGAGGCCTTCTTTATTGGGGGAGTTCTGCCAGTCCAGTTTGTACCTTTTCTGTCCATTGGATGAGAAGCAGCTGTTGTTACAAAAACGCGACGTAGCTTGGAGTTACAAATGTACCTTAAGGCATGGGTGTCACAACGTACTGTGATATCCAACATACAAGACAGGGCAACTAGTTTAGGGGAGGATTTTTTAAAGAAAATTTTGTTTACATGCATTTGAAATTGGGGAAAATGTCAGTACAAAATCCCTTTTTTAAAAAAAGTTTTAAGATTTGTGTTTTTAAATTTAAAAATAATTGATGTGCTTTCCGACTTGCCCACAAAAAGACTCAAGTGCTGGATTGCTTCTGAAATGGCTTGTTGTCTCAGCCAAACTCCAAAGTTCGCCAGGAATGGAAGGCACGATCTCTATAGGTTGGGCACATTTTGGCGTCTTTTTTCCCCATTGTATCGATGCCACAAGGTGGCAAGGAACACCGAAGGAAGATGTGTCATTCTTCTTGACTCTTGGTTTCCCCAAATCCCCCGAAGGCTTCCGTTTTTCTCTGTTCGCCAGTCTGTTGCTGGGCTTTCCTGCAGAACCCGCTTTAATGCCAAAGTCCCCAAGGCATGCTCAACTAGAATGGGGCAGAGCTTGAAGAGATTTCCTTTCTTCATTTACATGGATGCTTGGCCTCCAAAACACGTATTGAGTTATTTTGCCGGGGGAAAAAAATTAGGATGGGTAGGGGAACAAAAACCGCATTTTGCCCTCTTGTATACATTCAATTTTCAAGACATATCTCTGTCCCACCATCTCCGTCTTTCTCCTTTTGTGCTGTACTTTCACCCCTCTCTTCCCTTGTCTGTGTGAAGCAAGTGTGAATGTTGCAGTGAGCAAGCTTGGATAGCGTGGAGTAGCCTTGTAGCTGCAAAGTCAATCAGTGAGGGTCTCTGCATAGAAGTAGCCTATCCTTTTTTGCCTGGAGGCACCCTCTGTTTGGATGGTTTTAACTAGCACTTGATTGTTTGTTGTCTGGAATTGGGTTCAGTATCAGAATTGGGTTCAGTATATCTTGTATGTGTTCCATTTTCAAGGCATTTCTTTGTCCCAGCTTCTCCCTCTTTTTCCTTTTCTGCTGTATTTTCATCCGCTCTCTTCCACAGCAGGCTCAGCCCTACTTGGCCTTTTCTCAGGTCGACACGATCCTTTCAAGAAAAAGAGGAATGTGTTTAGGCCAATGGGAAATTGATCCCGTCTTTCACATCCAATTGCAGAGGGTTTTTTTCCTGATCCCCAAAGGAGCAAAGCTTTGCCCGGATGCCTGTACCAACACATCAAACAAGACGCGGTCTATTTTACTCCCTGCATTGAGGATATCCCCCCCCTTTTTTTTTTCTTTTTGATAATGACGACAACTGAGTGCCTTGCAAATCATTTACAAATACTGTGTATTTGTCCAAATCTCTTGCTTTTGTTGAATACCTTTGGTTTGGGGTGTCAGGTCCAATCTGGCTCCAATGCTTTTGTTGCTTTCTTTTAGAGGAGGCGCTCGCCAGGGTCCCTTGGGCTCTTTGCAAAGCTTCTTTCAGCTGGTGCTGTGAGTATTCTGGGCTGTCTGGTCATATTCCAGTAGCATTCTCTCCTGATGTTTCACCTGCATCTATGGCTGATGGCATCTCCAGAGGTTTGTTCAGAGGTCTGTTGGAGGTGAGGCAAGTGGAGTGTATATATGTCTTGAATAGCACTGAGTAGCCATTAAGTTTGCAAAGTCAATCAGTAAGGGTATCTGCAGAGGTAGCAAGAAAAGTGTGCGTGATCTGTGAAATAATGTCCAGGATGGGAGAAAGAACCCTTGTCTGTTTGAAGCAAGTGTGAATGTTTCAATTAGTAAACTTGAATAGCACTGAGTAGCCTTAAAGCTTCCAAGTCAAACAGGGAAGGTATCTGCACAGAGGCATTGAAGCAAGCAGAGTGTATATATCTACCGTATATACCTGTAGGATAATGTTCAGGGTGGGAGAAAGAACCCTTCTCTGTTTGGAGCAAGCGTGAATGTTGCAGTTCGCAAACTTGAATTAGCATTTGAGTAGCTATGAAGTTTGCAAAGTCAGTCAGTGAGGGTATCTGCATAGAGGTGGCCTGGCCTCTGTTTCCTGGGGGCACCCTCTGTTTGAGAGGTGTTGAATGAATGAGGCTTTATTTATATCCCGTCCCATTTCCCAAAGGGACTCGGAGACAACAGTATAAATGATAATAAAACACATCACAAATTAAACCAAGTTAAATCACCAGAAATAAACGCAAGTCATAATAAATAGAAAAGAGTATATAACTCAAGTATATCACACATCAATATATGTAATAACTGAGCATATAAAACATATAGACAATAAAACAATTAAACATCATATGACCTGTTCTTGTTAGCATGAGCAATAGAGTCAGTTGAAATTCCATTAAAAACTCCGTTGGCTAAAGTTATGGTTAGCCATTTTTGAAGGCCTGTTTCCAAAGCCAAGTTTTCAGTTCCTTCCTGAAAATTGTTCATGTGGGAACCAGTCTAATCAACTGGTAACTGGCACTTGGTTGTTTGCTGTCTGGACTTCCCCTGTTTTCTGAGTGTTGCTCTTTATTTACTGTCCTGATTCTGGTGTTTTTTAATACTTGGAACCAGATTGTGTTCATTTTCATAGTTTCCTCCTTTCTGTTGAAACTATCCACGTGCATCTTGTGGATTTCAGTGGCTTCTCTGAGTCGCCTGAGTTTCCATGTTCTCAAATAAGATTCTGTGCTTAGGTTGGTTCATCCAGTGCTCTGCTAGGGCTGACTTCTCGGAACTTCTCAGCTATAGCAGAGCACTTGACGAACTAACCTGAATACAGAATATTATTTGAGAACACGGAAATTCTAGGCATTTTGTCAGACGACACAGGGGAGTCATTGAAATCCACAAGCACGTGGACAGTTTCAAGAGAAAGGAGGAAACCATGGAAATGAACAAAATCTGGTCACCAGTATTTTTAAAAAAAACCCACCAGAATCAATATTTTATTGTTATTAAAACTTTCTTTATAGCCCGCCCTATCGCCCCGAAGAGACTCAGACAGTAAATAGCGAACAGCACTCAGAAAACAGGTTAACTCCATACAACAAACAACAAAGTGCCAGTTAACAGTTGATTAGACTGGCTCCCACACTAAAAATTTTCAGAAAGCAACTGAAAACATGGGTACCCTCTCTGATTGACTTTGCAGCTTCATGGCTACTTGATACTATTTAAGCTTTCTAACTCCAACATTTACATTTACTTAAACAGACATGGGTTCTTCCTCCCATTCTGGACCTTCTTCCACAGGTATATATATACTCTTTGAGTGCCTCACTGCCAACAGAACATCTGAGGATGCCAGCCACAGATACAGGTGAAATGTCAGGGGAAAATGCTACTGGAACATGGCCAGACAGCCCAGAAAACACACAACAACCCAGTGATTCTGGCCACAGAAGCCTTCCACAACACATTGAACACCTCTTTTTTGCAAAACGCCCTCCTCCAGACCCTTTCCACACTTTGAAATATGCAATTATCAAGACATCTTTGCGCTCGCTGCATTACAGATAGCAGTGTTCCTGGTACGTTACTGTTTTCTCATTTCAGGGAGCAGGGGTGTTATAAAAATATATTTATATGCACATTGTACATACATGTAGCTGTATATCTATATTGTACTGTACCTTCACAGTAGGAAATGCATAATGCACTTTTTTTTACTTTCTTGGTAAAAATGTACTGTATTCTATGCTTGTGAGGAAACCATTAAAGTCCTTTATTTACAACTATCTTGGGTATCTGGTGTTGCAAAAATCACTTTTTAATTGCACAAAATGCAAAAGGTTGTGGGTGAACTACAACTCACATAATGCTAGGTTAACCTCGAAAAAACTCCATCAGTAAAGTTTGTTATGTTAGGCAAGTTTGCTCTGGGTGTATCATCGGTGGGGTTGAGCATGCTCTCTGACAGCAGGGTAAACTACAACTCCCACTACAGTGAGTCAGTCCCCTCCAACCCTTCCAGTAGGTTGAGTTAGTCATGGGGGATCTGTGTGCCAAGTTTGGTTCAGATCTGTCATCAGTGGAGGACACAGTTTATCTGGTTGTGGGTAAACTACAACTCCCAAAAAGGAATGTCAGTCCTCCCCCCCCCCCCCCCCCCCCCCCCCCGCAAGCCCCCTCCAGTAATCAAATGCGAATATCAGGAATGTGTGCCAAGTATGGTCCAGATCAATCGGTGTTTGGGTTCACATTGCTCTCTGGATGTAGGTGAACTACAACTCCCCCAAAACAAGGTGATTTTCTCCCAAAGATCTCCAGTATTTTTTGCTGGTCATGGGGGCTCCGTGTTTCAAGTTTGGTCCAATTCCATCTTTGGTGGAGTTCAGAGTGCTCATGGATTTCAGGTGAACTATAAATCTTAGTACCTACAACTCCAAAATGCCCAGACCAATTCCCCTCAAAACCCACCAGTATTCAAATTTGGGCATATCAGGTATGCATGTCAAGTTTGGTCCAGATCCATCATTATTTGGGTCCATAGTGCGCTCTCGATGTAGGTGAACTACAAAGACCTCCAGTATTTTTGGTTGGTCATGGGGGTTCTGAGTGCCAAATTAGTTCCAGGACCATCATTGGTGAGGTTAGGAGTGCTCTTAGATTACAGGTGAACTATACATCCCAATACCTACAACTCCTATCAATCATGGTGACTTTTCCCCAAACCTCTCTAGTATGTTCAGTTGCTGATCAATGCTGCTCTGTTTGCTGGGTGCCATAGAAAATAATAGGAAAGGGTTAAGAAAGAGTCAGTGGGCGGGGTCATGCAAATTTCACAGCAATGGAGAGAGTACGAAACACTGGGATGTCCCTGGTGGAGGAAAAACATAAAATTGAGGATGAAATTATCTCCATATGAAAGGCTTCACTTGGGTGGTGGCAGGATTGTGTTTGTGTAGGACATTGGCAGGGCTCTTGTACATGTTCATGGGGATCACTGTAACCTGTAATGTCATTAGAGGGCCATCTGTGTCTCCTAAGTAGTGGGAGCTATAGCTGTTTGTGGAGGCAGGAGCTTGACCATGTAAGTGGATACCCAGCCGCGCGCGCGCACACACACACATTTTTTACTTTTATTATGCGTATAGATTATATGATCGTGCCTCTATACCTGTCATACTGCCTTTCCCCTACACCTTATTATTTATTCTATTCTTATGTTATTATTATCCTGCATCTATATCTGTGTCATACCGCCTTTCCCCTAGAAAGTGTGGCCTGGGCAGAAGACAGTGACAAATCTTCTTTGCTCCTTGACCGTGAAACAAGCCTAACTTGTCAAAAAAGCCACGTACAAGAGAATGAGTCAGCTTGCCTCTCTTTCTTCTATTTCAGGGGCAGTTGCCTTGTATCCAGGCCTTGCAGACTTTTGCCTTTAAAGGCGACCAGTCTGCACTCGCTCGCTTGCCTCTAGTGCTGGGGAGGAGTCTTTTGGACTGCTTGGCATTGTTTGTGGGCTGGGGAGGAAGAAGCCAGCGGTGTTTATCTGAGCGGAGCCACGAGG